CCTGCGGCAAGCACGACCACCTGGCAAAATCAGAAACCACCCGATCTAGCCCCGTCGTCCTGCCCCTTCGCCCTGTCCCCCCCTCGTCCTGCCCCTCTTCTTTTCGCCCTTCTTCTATGGCTGTGTTGTTTCCCCGCCACGGTCCCCTGTGCTGCGGGCGGGAGGGGGGTTTCGAGACAACGCCATCCATGACGCCAGCCGTACCTTCCTCGGCGGAGCCGCCGACTGCGCCACGAACGCTGGATGGGGGTGAACTTTGTCACCTTGTGCCCCCCTCTCCCTCCTGCCTCCTCTGCTGCTCCTCCCCTCTTCCTCCCTTACCCCTCTCTTCGCCCATCTCCCTCGTCTTCGTCTTCGTCCTGGCATCTTTCCCGGCGCAGCCGGGACGACCTTGTCCTGTGCCCCATCGACCCGTTCTTTCCCGTGTCCCGCGCGGGGGTGATCGCAAAAGACTGCGTTGCATATGTGGTGCACGTTTTTGTGTGCCTGCCGCCTAGGCGATCGAGTCTTTGCCTTGGACTCGGGCGCAACGTCTGACTGTCCCTCCTCGGGAATTCTCTCGGCGGGTCGCGGCTGTCCCTGGGGCCCTCGGTTTGCCCCTGGGGGTGGCGCGTTTCGTTTATCTGCTGCCGAAGCGATCTGGTTCCCGTCCCGCCAATCAATCTTCTATTCTGCCGTCAACTGACGCTGGAGGGGGGCGAAGACCTGCCACCCCCAAAGGTCCTTCGGCCAACGAAGACGGCCCAAGGGGGGGTGGAACCAGTACCTCAACCTCCAGGTACGTGTGTCACCACCTCCAATTCAAAGCGCCAAGTGCCACCGAGCATACTTATCCTCCAAAACCGCCGGCAGTGACGGGGACGTCGCGCGGGCGCTTGCATGCGAGACCTCGAGCGCGGGCGGGTCTGAGTTCAGCCGACGACTGAAGTCGGAGCCAGCTGAATTCGGACCCAGAAGCTCGGACCCAGCTGAACCCGGACCCGGCTGATCTCGGACCCGCTGAAGTCGGACTCGGCTGGTCTCGGAACCGGCTGAACTCGGACCCAGTTGAACTCGAATCCGGCTGATTTCGGACCCGGCTGAACTCGGACCCGTCGGATTTCGGACCAGGCGGATCTCGGACCCAGGCGTTCCCGCTGCAGCGCGAGCCTCGGTCTGAGTTCACTTGGGTCCGAGTTCAGCTGGGTCCGAGATCAGCCTGGGTCCGAGCTCAGCTGGGGCTGGGTTCAGCTGGGTCCGAATTCAGCTGGCTCCGAGTCTTCTGGGTCCGAGTTCCGGGTCCGAGATCAGCCTGGGTCTGAGTTCAGCTGGGTCCGAGTCCAGCCCGGTTCCGACTTCAGCGGGGCTCGAGTTCAGCTGGGTCCGAGTTCAACTGGTGTCCAGAGAGCGGAGGAGGGAAGCGTGTGGGGGTGTGGGGAGGCCTTGCTCGTGCTTTGTCCGCGCCTCGTCTGCTGGCTTTGCTGCCTCGCTGGTTGGCGCTCCGCCGTTGCCTGGCTGGTCGGCCCAGGCTGCGCCCCGTTAGCAAGGGCTCCCTCGAGGGCGCGAAGTTATTCGCGCTTCGCGCTTCGCGGTCCTCGTTCCTTCTCCCCCTCCTCCTCGTCCTCCTATTCTCCCTTTGGGGGGGCGGCGCGAGGGCGCGAAGTTATTCGCGCTTCGCGCAGCGCGAAGCGCGAAGTTGGGAGCCCTAGGTTAGCTGGCGCTCTGTCAGTGCCCTGCCCTGTGGTGGTTTGTGGACTGCTTCGACTAGCCGCGTTGCTGACTCTGCCGAGACACCGCCGTCGACGACGACGACGAACCCGCCGCCGACGACGACGACGCCGCTACCGCTGCCGACGACGACGTCGACCTCCGAGCAGCTGCCCAGGCCAGCGCAGGCAACTGCAGGTCACCGATGTCCGCCGAGGGCCGCCAGTGGCCGCCGATGGCCGCCGATGACCGTTGACGAGGCCGACCACGGCGACGAAGGCGCTGCCTTTGTCGGCGGTTCTCCCTGCCATCCTCAGGAGGGGAAAAAACACAGACACAATGAATCGTCGATTCCCAGGAAAATATGCGAGCATATGAGAAGTGGGGGGGAAGGCAAAAGCCCAGAAAGCATTGGGAAATATGGGGAATCCTGTTATTTGTGCCTATTTGTCTGTGTGTCCCAGGGCCCCGTCGCATCGTGCGGACCACCGCCGCTGGATCCCAGAGCGGCGTCGGGCGCTCGCGGTGGCAGGACGGGGGGCGAGCGCAGCGCCGGGCAGTACCAGTCGAAGGAAGAAAGCACGGGAGCCAGGACCGAGACCTCGCGGGATTTTGCCGATGCCGATCCTGGTCATGGTCCATTAGGGGGCCAGATACGAACCCTACCCCTACCCCCCACGATTGCCAAGGCCTTACGGCCGGTGCCGCCGACCCTGAATGGCGACGACGACGACGACGACGACGACGACGACGACGACGAGCGCTCTTGGGGGCCTCTTGGGGGTAGTTTGTGGGCCTCTTGGGAAGCTCTGAGGGGCCGCTTGGAAGCCTCCTGGGGGCCTCTTGGGGCTTCCTGGGGGTCTCTTGGAGGGGGCCTGGGACGTCTTGGAGGCTTCTTGGACGGTCTTGGGGCTATCTTGGGCGTTTTCGGCCGATCTTTGGGCGACTCGGGGCCCTCTTGGGCCGTCTCGGGGGCCATCTTGGGCATTCGGACCTCATTTGGAGTGTTTTCGAGGTTTCTAGGCCGCCCGAGGAAAAACGAATCTGCCCCCCCCCGGGACCCCCCCGGGACCCCCCCGGGACCCCCCCCGGGACCCCCCCCCCCTGGGGAAGGGATCAAAGGGAAGGGGCTTCCCTTCGACTCGATTACGACACTGCTAGATTTTTCTCTCGCTCACGAGCTTGAGAAGGAAGCTGCAGGGAAAGGGGACGACGGAGGCGACGACCGACGGAGACGACGACTCGAACAGCCAAGCCCCTCGCACACGCCGCCGCCTTCTGAGAAGCCTTCTCCTTCTCAATCCCCCCCTTGCTCGCCGCTGAGCAGCAGAGCCTTGAAAAAACCTGGACGGTTCTGCTGTTGCCGTTTTCGGACTTCTTCGATGTCCCTCGACGGGCCCTGGGACCACCAACAACGACTCAGGACGAACAAAACGGCCTTGGGGAACGTTTCTCCTCCTCGTTATCCTCCTCCTCCTCCTCCTCCCTCCTTTTCCTTCTTTTCTTTCCTCCTTTTCCTCCTGTTCCTCTTCCTGTTCCTCCTCCCCCTCCTCCTCCTCTCCTCCTTTTCCTCCTTTTCTTCCTCCTGCTTTTCCTCCTGTTCCTCCTCCTGTTCCTCCTCCTCCTTCTCCTCCTTCCCCTGTTCCTCCTCCCCTCCTCCTCCTCCTCCTCCTCCTCCTCCTCCTCCTCCTCCTCCTCCTCCCCTCTTTCTCCTCCTCATTCTCCTCCTCCTCTTCGTCCTCCTCCTTTTCTAACGGGTCCGGACCTCGCGGGACCGTGCATGGAACAGCAGCGTAATACGTCGGATGTCCAGGGCCTCCAGGCTCATCCGATAGGGCCCGTGGTCAGGCCCCGGGGATCCCCGCGAGAACGGAGCCACGGCGAAAGATTACCTCTGAGGAAAAGGGGCCAGAGGATCGCTCCATCGCCCATGCAGCAACGCCGCGGCGCGTCCCGGCGTCACCGGCGCATCGTCGCGATGCATCGGCGGTGCGGCGCGATCCTCCGACCCGACCTGCTCGGAGCCCAAAGTCCTGAGATGCGACGTTGCGAAAAAGTGGCGGCATCACGACAAATCACGACCCGAGACCTGAGCCCCATATTTCTGCTGCGTGCCACATGGTTCAAACCAGATCGGTATGTGACGGTCCTGGGCCCCAGATCGGACCGAACACGTTCGGCGTGAAACAGTTGCAGGGACCAGGCCGCCTCTTCGGACCCCCGATCGTCACGAATTGCGCATGGCGTGGACCCGGTCTGGACAACTCCCCGCGGACCGGCTTTTCATAATGAGCAGTTTTTGACAGTCTCAGGGGCAACGATAGGGGGGGGATAGGCATAGGGGGGATGCATCGACCCCCAATCGCCCATTGATCGCCGATAGGAGTCTGATAGCCCAACCCGCCCAGGAAGGTGCGGATTCACTATCGGGGGCCTATCGCCGATCTATCGGCGATGTGTCCCCGATTCCAGTTTGATGCACCCCCTCCTATGCCAGTCCCCCCTCTCGTTGTTGCCCCTCACGGTCGCGAGGCCCGGCGAGGGCCCTTGCAGGAAGCCAGAAGTGGCGAGAACCCTTCCGCCGTGATTTTCTCCTCGACGCGAGGGGGTCCGAGTCTGCAGGCACATCTGCTCAACATCAGTCACGTACCCCCTTCTGGGGTCGAAACGAAGCAGCCTTTCGAGCCGCGTCCGGCCGTGGCGACGAGGGGGCCCCTTTTCCCCACCTTTGCTGCTGGCCTGAACCAGTGCTGGGCCCCTTCAGCCGCCGAGCCAGCTCCAACCTCCAACCCCACCTGCTCGGACCCCAATCGGGCGGCCCCAGACACTCGGGCCGGGCGAAAGGGGGGGATTGGGAAAGGGGGGGTTACGAAATTTGCTGCATGCAGCTGGTTTCGGCCTCACCGAGGGGCCCATTCCTCGATACATGGCCGCCTCCGGCGCCGGGAGGCGCCGGGAAAATCAGCTCCGTGAGCTGATTCTCAATCCCCCCCTTTGCTATCCCCCCCTTTTGCCCGACCCGAGACGCCCGCCCGACGAGTTCTCAATGCGCGCAGGCTCAGAGGCCCCGGACCCCTTCCTCGGGGCCAGTTCTTCGCCCGGGATCCATTTTGCTAGTCCCGGGGCCCACGCTCCAGATGGGGGACATCGATAGAAACCAACGGAAAACACATCGAGGACTCTCCATGGAAAGGCCAGAAGAAAACGAGTCAAATCGAAGAACATCTATGAACATGGAGGAAGGCTTGTGGGAATCTCGGGAAGTAGAGGGACAGCCACGTTGTCGGGTCTCAAGGACCCGGCGGCCTCCGCAGGAGTCCCTGCTCCGCGGGAGCGCCTACTGGTCGCCCTCTGACTCGCGCCTCGCGCTGGCTCTCTCCGCCGGCTGCCTGGCCGTGGCGGACCTCGGGCCCCTCGGGGCGGCCGACGGGCAGCACCCGGCGCGCTGCCGGCAGCTGCGGCACGACCAGGGCAGCTGGCCGGAGGCTCGGTGCGATCGACCGATGGGCGGCGCAACGGCGGGGCCGTCCGCGTCGACATGGGGGCGTCAGCTGCGTGAGGTCGCGCGGAAGTCCCCTCGTTTCCAGTGTGGCGTGCCGCGGCGGCGGACCGCGCGAGCCACCGCGCAGGATCGCTACGTCGTCTCGCGTAAGATACGTTGCGTCGCGTCGCTCAGGTGGGTACGGAAAGGATTCGCTCCTCGGGCCGCAGGGTTCGTTAAAGATTGCCGGGGGCACGAAAGGCAGGTTCGCGGGAAGGGATCGAGAGGTCTGGGGGCCGCACTGCAGACATCGCGTCTCGGTGCGCTCTGTGTACGAAGACGGGCAGCAGTCCCTCTCCATGTTGACCAGGATTCGCTGTCGGCGTCGCCGCGAACGTTGTCCGTTTGAGACAGACACTGCCAAGCAGCGTCCGCTATCGGTTTTGGACAGCATTTGCTGCTGGGTATCGCGCCCACTGTTTCCGTACCCATGTCGGGCGAGCCGAGAGGTTCGGGCTCGACCCAGACCTCCACAGCGTTGGCGAAAATCAAGACGGCAGTTCTTTGCTGGTTGCGGGCTATGAGGGGCGCCGGGCCTTGGGGCCGTCAACCAGAGGCCCTGGGTGGAAAGCGGTCCCCAGGGATGGTGTCCAGATTTCATGGGGTCCGTGTCATAGGGGGCCACATGCGAACCCTACCCCTACCCCCCACGATTTCTGAGGGGGAGGGTGGGGTTCACTTCGTTCGGGAGGTCACGAGCGAAGTGAACCCCACCCTCTCCCTCAAAAATCGTGGGGGGTAGGGGTAGGGTTCGCATGTGGCCCCCCACCTGTCAGGAGAAATCATGACGTCGAGGGTTTGGGAAAGTACCGATACCGCTACCCCGTGGTCGCCACGGCTGGATCCGCCTCAACATCTTGCTAAGATCGCAGCCCCGGGAGAGGTCTGTGGAGCGGCGGTATCGGTGTCTTTGTTTGTGCCCCTGGTTGTGTACACCGCATGGTCGTAAGGAGCCAGGGAGCTCGGCGATGGAGTTCGTTGCATAGACGCTCCAGCGTCCCACAGGTTGGGGAAGCTGGAGCTCGGGGACAGGAGCACAGCCATCATACAAGTTTCGCAACCGCCAGCGCGAACAGCACAGTGGACATCATTCGGGGTCGGTTCGCGAGCGCGAGACGTTCCACCATGTTTGGGGTCGAAGGCGCGCATACCTGAGTGTATATATGACCCTGGGTCGAGGGTTCACAGCCCCCACCATCAGATAGGATGGGCCCCGTGGTTCCACAGCCCCTCCCCCAGCCGCAGATGGGATGACGGGGAGACGACGACGGCGACGACTACGACGCAGACGCCGACGCCGACGCCGACGCCGACGTCGACGCCAGCGACGACGACGCAGACGTCGACGCCGACGCCGACGACGATGACGAATCCGCCGCCGCCGACGACGACGATGATGACGACGACGACGACGACGACGACGGCGGCGGCGGCGGCGGCGACGACGACGACGACGAACCACCCCACACTCACAGTGGCGTGGGAGCACCGGCGCTCTCCACCTCGCCGCGCCCACAGGGCCACGACCAAAGGCGGGAGCGATCCCATTCGCGAGGCCTTCGCGCGGCTCACACGCGTGCCCATCCAGCGCGGCGGGGTTGTCGAGCCCATACGCATTGGGGGGGTGCAGCCCTGATACGCGTATGTCGCTGCGCCGTTTGTTCTTAACCCGCCGAAGTGGACGACGCCGACACCACGGCAGGCCCACGGCAAGCCTTGCGCCCCGCACCCCAACGAGACGACAGACGCAAGGCCGCGCGCCGGAACGAACGGCGCGGCGACATGTGTGCGGCTCGTTGGCCGACAAAAGAGGTGGCGTGGTCCGGCGACGGCTCCCGGCTGGCGACGTGGCTCCCCTCGGCGCAGAAGCTGCGCGCCGGCCTCCAGGCCTGGAGGGGCGGCGGCGGGCACGTGAAGGTGTGGGACGTGTCGCGCCAGGACCCAGGAGACGAAGGAGGAGTGTCGACAGGTCGAGTCGACAGCGGCGGGGGGGCCGATCCTGCCCTCGGCGGCGCCTCGCAGGGGGCTCCCGGAGAGAGCCTCGCCTCCGAGGGGCACAGGGGGTGCAGCCCTCGACCTCGTGCAGGGAAGACTGCCAGAGGGCCAGCGGATGTAGGCGGAGGGCAGGGCCCGCCGGCCAAGAGGGGGGTGACGACTAGGGTGTGTGTGTGTGTGGATAGTATGGCAGGGGCCATGAGATCTCCCAAGATTTCATGGCGCCCCTTCTTATTTCAGCACGTCCCCGCCCCTCCCCCACCCTGGGCCGCGCACATGCCGCCGGCCATGATTTGCGCCCCCCCTCTCGGACACGCTCCCCTCTTGGCCGCCCCCGACGCAAGGCCCGGTCCTGGGGCATGCTGTCAGGACGTTGAGGTGCAAGGGTTCGCCTTGGGCTCCAGAGGGGCTCTGGCTCTCGGGCCGCTCCTCCGATCCATGTTGAGGAGGCTGTTCGTGGCCGAGGCCTGCCGGGGCGCGAAGGGCCCAGTCGTTCCGTCCTCGGCGTCCCGTATGGCAGCAGGACGGCTCTCAGCATGAGCTCTGGGAGGGCCGCGCGGACTCCTTGGACCGGCGCTGGACTCTGGCGCCGCCCCCGGGGGAGGGGGGCCGACGTTGCGAACAAAGTGCAACATAGCGAAAAATCATGACGAGCTCTGGACTCCATCCTTCCGAGGATTGTTCCGAGCTGGATTGGTCTGTGATGGTCCCGCGCGGCCCCGAGCCAGGTGAAAATGCGCGCTGCGAAACATTTCCAATGCCTGGGTCTCACAGTAGGTGTTTAGGCTTGCTGGAAGTCCTGGCCATTTCCGCAGGGTCGGTTTCTCATCCCGAGCCGTTTTTGGGACGGTCCCAGCGAGGGCCACCGACGCTTGAAAACGAGGAGAATCCTCAGTCTTTGATGTTTCATCCAGACGTTCAATGATCGGGTAGTTGGCGCCCTCCGATCTACCGGCGGCCAGCGAGGGGGGGAAGTGAGAAGGGGCGGGCCTTCTCAGAAGGCTCGGAAGTCCCCTAGGCTTCTGAGAAGTTTTCTGAGCCTCCCCCCAAGACGCACGGAAAAAACGTTTCAGAAAGCGGGAGGGCCTCTGAGAAGTCTCGCCGCCTTCTGGGAAGGCCTTCTCCTTCTCGCTTCCCCCCTCGCTCGCCGCCGGTTCCTCTCTCACAACGTCAACCATACAGCTGGACCGTTAAACAAAGGGCCTTGCCCTCGAGGATCGAGGGTTGCTATCACTTCCTCTGTGGAAGCCGTCGGAAGACTGGCGGACGGTGACGGTTTCCGGAACCCGCCAGCTGTACCGATCCTGGCTGGCCTCACTTCCCCCCCTCGCTCGCCGCCGAATCGAAGGACTCCGAGGAGGCGCCCTCCCAACTCCTGGACCACGGCGACGAGCAGCTCGGCGACGTGGCGTGGGCGCCCCGCGGCCCCGCGCGGCTGCTGACCTGGTGCCGGCGGGGCAGGTCAGCAGCTCGGCTCGAGCCAGACGGTGTTTGGGCGATTTCGTGGACCGCTTTCGTTTTTCACCCATCAGTGCTTGCACTGAAGGGGTCCTATAGCGGAAGTTGAAAGATTTGGCGAAAATTTCCCGCCGATTTTGGTTCCGGGTTCCCGGGTTCCCGGGATCCCGGGTTCCCGGGTTCCCGGATTCCCGGTTCCGGGTTCCCGGGTTCCCTGTTATTGGTTCCGGGCCGATTTCGGTGGGTTTTGGGTTCCCGGGCTCCACGGTTCCCGGTCGATTTCCTCAGCGAAAACCACCACTGATTGGGTTTTTTCTCTGGTGTAATGATTTCGTTCCGCTGCAAAGGCAGAACGAAGACGGGACGAAGGACATCGAAAACAACACGAACACGAAACACATTGTTTGGCTCGAGCCCTGGTCAGCAGCGTCCAACCTGTCCCCATTCCCACTGCGCCATGGCATCTCAGTCCCACCAGCCCACCCCCACAGGCGGGGATACCCCGAGATCCAGGGCGTTGCCATTTCCCCACTACCCGGTGGTGTTGGGTCCTCGTTTTAAAGAGAGCGCCCCGCGTCTCCTCTCCTCGCCTGTTTCCTCTTCCCCCTACTCCCATCCCTGCCCCTGCCCTCCGCATGGCCACCATTTCAGCCATGTCGGCTCACCCCTCACACGTTTCGTGGCCCCATGGGGCCCCAATGGCTGTGATCACATGCGTCCCCGCCATTTATTTCGGCACGCGATTCGTGCCCCCCATGGGAACCTACACCGAAGGCCCCAGTGGCTGTGATCACATGCGTCCCCGCCACCCATGTCGGCACACCCGTCACACGTTTCGTGGTCCCCTAGGGAGCTCCACCGAAGGCCCAAGTGGCTAGGATCCCATGCGCCCCCGCCACCCATGTCGGGACACCCTTCGCACGCTTCGTGGCCCCGTAGGGAGCTCCGCCGAAGACCCCAGTGGCTGGCATCACATGTGCCCCCGCCACCCATGTCGGCACAACTGTCACACGTTTCGTGGCCCCACAGGGAGCTCCGCCGAAGGCCCCTGTGGCTAGGATCACATGCGTCCCCGCCACCCTTGTTGGCACACCCCTCACACGCTTCGTGGCCCCATGGGAAGGTCCACCGAAGGCCTCAGTGGCTCTGATCACATGCGCCCCCGCCACCCATGTCGGCACACCCGTCACACGTTTCGTGGCCATGGCCCCCTAGGGAGCTCCACCGAAAAGCCCAGTGGCTCAGATCCCATGCGTCCCCGCCACCCATGTCGGCACACCCCTCAAACGTTTCGTGTCCCCCTAGGGGGCTCCACCCATGTCGGCACACCGGTCACACGCTTCGTGGCCCCCAGGGAGCTCCGCCGAATGCCCCAGTGGCTAGGATCACATGCGTCCCCGCCACCCATGTTGGCACACCCCTTAACTACACGCTTCGCCCAATGGCTGCGCCCGCATGCGTCTCCGCCACCCATGTCGGCACACGCCCCATAGGGAGCGCCACCGAAGAGGACACGCACTTTGGCGGTACTCACAACTGCATGTGGCTGCATGTGGTTGGGTCTTTCGCCATGATAATGTTTCACACCAGTCGTTTTCGCGCCGTTTTTGGCTCAAGGACCATCACAGATCTATCCGCTTCAAAAAATGCGGCTGAATGATTGGGTCTAGGGCTTCAGTCATGGTTCTTCCCATCATCTTGAGTGTCCTTCTAGAACACCCTCTCCTTCTCCTGCCTCCCGGCTTCTCCGCTGAACCATACTGCCTCCACCACCTGTGCTCTTATTACTACGACTAAGATTACTGCTATTAATACTACTGCTACGAGTACTACTACTACGACTACTACGACGACTACTACTACTACTACTACTACTACTACTACTACTACTACTACTACTACTACTACTACTACTACTACTACTACTACTACTACTACTACTACTACTACTACTACTACTACTACTACTACTACTACTACTACTACTACTACTACTACTACTACTACTACTACTACTACTACTACTACTACTACTACTACTACTACGACTACGACTACGACTACGACTACTACTTCTACCAATATTACCACTACTACTACTACTACTACTACTACTACTACTCCTACTACTCCTACTACCACTACCACTACCACTACCACTACCACTACCACTACTACCATTGCTAGTACTACGACTACTACTACTACGACGACGACGACGACTGCTACTACAGCTACTGCGACTACTACTTTCATTATTACTACCACTGCGACTGCTACTACAACTACCAATACCATTACTACCACCACCACTACCACCACTACTACGACTACTACTACTACTACTTTCACTACTACTACTACTACTACTACTACTACTACTACTACTACTACTACCACTACTTCTACAGCAACTACGGTTACTACTACTATTATTACTACTACGACTAGGGCTATTATCATTGATGCCACTACTGCGACTACAGCGACGACTTCGAGTAATAGTATTACTTCTACCACGGTTATCATTACGACCACCACTACCACTACTACCACTGCTACTACTACTACTACTACTACTACTACGACTACCACTACTACGACTACTGCTGCGACTACTTCTACTACGACTACTACTTTTACTAGTGCTACTACGATTTCTATCACTACTACTACTACTACTACTACTACTACTACGACTACTACTACTACTACTACTACTACTACTACTACTACTACTAATGCTACTACTACTACCACTACTACGACTACTTCTACAACTACAACTACTAGTTCCACTACCTCCACCACTACCACTACCTACTGCTACCATTACCAGAATGACAACTACTACTATTGCTGTATAGTATTACTATCACTACGCCTGCCACCAAACCTCCTCTATTGTTTTTCTACTACGACCAGCAGTACTAGTATTATGGTTACTAGTACTACTACTGCTGCTCCTACTACTACGACTACTAGTATAACTCCGCTAATGAATGGTATTATTACTACCACCAGTACTTCTACGACCTCCCCTATCCGAACTACTACTACTGCTACTACTACTACTACGACTACTACTACTACCATCTACTTCTACTATTGATACTACTACGGCTACCACTACCACTTTTACTATTACTACGATTACTACTACTACTCCTACTACTACTACTACTACTACTACTACTACTACTACTACTACTACTAGTACTACTACTATTACTACGACGACGACTATTACTACTACTACTACTACTACTACTACTACTACTACTACTACTACTACTGCTACAGCTACAGCTACTGCGACTACGACTATCACGAATACTATTACTCCTTATGGTACTACTGCTACTACGACAACTACCAGTACTACGGCTCCGACGACTACTACTAGTCGGAGGTTGGGGGTCGAGATCGCAGTGGAACGGAGACCCTCAAAGGGGAAATTGTTTCGTGTCGTTCGTGTCGTGCGTGCGGGCGGGGCGAAGCTGCGTGGGCGCGCGAGAGGAATGAACCCGCCCTTGCTAGGGCGAAGTCAGGGCAAATGTTGCTCCCCCGTCCGTTCGTCCATCCGTCCGCCCGGCGGTGGCCGTAACCGTGTCCCGTGGTGTCCCGTGGTGGCCCGTTGAGTGAGATCGGTAGTGAGATCGATGCTGAGATCGATGTGGTGCCCCGAGGTGTCCCGTGGCGTCCCGTGTTGTCCAAAAATGAGATCGATTGTGAGATCGATAGAGAGATCGACAGGTGTCCCGTGGTGTCCCGTGGTGTCCCGTTGAGTGAGATCGATCGTGAGATCGATGAGGTGTCCCGTGGTGTCCTATGGTGTCCCGTTGCGTGGTATCGATAGTGAGATCGGTGGTGAGACGGATAGTGAGATCGAGAGGAATCCCGCGGTGTCCCGTGGTGTCCCGTGGTAGCCCGTGGTGGCCCGTGGTGTCCCGTGGTGTTTCGTTGAGTGAGATCGATAGTGAGATCGGTAGTGAGATCGAGAAGCGTCCCGTGGTGTCCCGTGGTGTCTCGTTGATTGAGATCGATCGTGAGATCGATTGAGTCAGATGTTGGTTCCCCCCTTCCCCCCCTCACAACCTCCTTATCACCCGAAGGGTGGTCGTGTAGGTAATATTTGCCATTATTACCACGACGATTATTACTACTTCTACCACTGCTACTACCACCCAGACTAGCAATAGTACTTTACTATTACTATTATTATTGCTACTCCTACTACTACTACGACTACTACGACTACTACTACTACTACTACTACTACTACTACTACTACTACTACTACTACTACTGCTACGATTGCGACTACCACTACGACTACGACCACTACGACAACTACGACGACGACGACGGCGATGTCGACGACGACGACGACGACGACGACGACGACTACTACTACTACTACTACTACTACTACTACTACTACCACTACTACCACTACGAATATTACGGCTACGACGGCAGCGACGACTACTTCTACTACTTCGACGACTGCTACTAGTATTACTGCGACTACTACTACTATTATTATTACTATTACTACGACTACTACTACTACTACGACTACTACTACTAGTACTACTACTTCTACGACTACTACTACTACTACTACTACTACAACTACCACTACTACTACTACTACTACTACTACTACTACTACTACTACTACTACGACCACGATCCCGACCACGACTACGACTACTATTACTACTACCACCACCACTTCGACGACGGCTACTACTACTATCATGCTTACTACCACTACTACTACGGCTACTACAACTACTACTACTACTACTACCATTACTACTGCTACTACTACTACTACTACTACTACTACTACTACTACTTTTACTACTGCTACTACTACGACTACTATTACTATCACTACTACGACGACTACTACTACTGCTGCTGCTACTACTACTACCACCATTACTACTACTTCTACCACTACTACCACTACTACTACTACTACTACTACT